CTGATGCTGATGGTGTCCCGATGATGATGATTATGAGGTTGATGATGATGCTGTTGATAATGATGGTGATGATGATGGTGTCCCGATGATGATGCTGATGATGATGACGATGATTGTGTCCCGATGATGATGTTGATGATGAGGATGATGACGAGGTGGTGATGATGATTTTGATGATGATGGCCCGATGATGATGATGATGTTGATGTTGATGATGATGGTGTCCCGGGTTTGATGATGGTGGCGATGATGATGATGGTGACGATGAGGATTGTGTCCCGATGGTGATGATGATGCAGATGATGATGATGTTGCTAATGATGGTGGTGGTGTCCCGATGACGATGATAATGATGTTGTTGCTGATGTTGCTCATGATGGTGAGATGATGATGATGGTGGTTATCCGATGATGATGATGATGATGATGATGGTGCCCATATGATAATGATGTTGATGATGATGTTGATGGTGACGATGATGGTGTCCCGATGATGATGATGGTGATGATGTTGATGATGATGGGGATGAGGTGGCGATGATGATGGTGTCCCAATGCTGATGTTGTTGATGTCGATGACGTTGATGAAGATGATGTTGATGATTATGATGATCACGTTGATTGTGATATTGATTGTGATATCGATAGCGAAATCGATAATGAGACCGAATGTGAGATCGATTGTGAGATCGATTGTGAAATCGATAGTGGGATCGATGGTGCGATCGATAGTCGTATCTATTGTGAGATCGATCGAATGAATTAGATCGAGTGAGATCGTTTGTGAGATCGATCGAGCGAGACCGATCGTGAGATCGATTGTGAGATCGATAGTGAGACCGATCGAGTGAGACGTTGGTTCCTCTCCCCCCCGAACCTCCTTATCACCCGAAGGGTGGTCGTATAGGTAGCCCTATAGCTCTATAGCCCTATAGTTCATTAGCCGTATAAGCCCCAAAAGCCCCCGAACCCTATAGCCCTGATTTTTTTCGGTACCATATTACTACTACTACTACTACTACTACTACTACTACTACTACTACTACTACTACTACTACTACTACGACTACTACTAACTACTACTAACTACTACTACTACTACTACTACTGCTACTACTACTACTACTACTACTACTACTACTACTAGTAGTAGTATAGTACTACTACTACTACTATTACTATTACTACTACTAACGACTACTACTCGACACTACATACTACTACTCCTACTATTTACAACGACCGAACGACGACTACTACGACGTACCACTACTACCAGTACCACTACACTACCACTACTACCACTACTACTACTACTACTACTACTACTACTACTACGATTCTACTACTACTACTACTACTACTACTACTACTACTACGACTACTACTACTACCAATACTACTACTACGACCTACTACTACGACTACTACTACTACTACTACTACTACTACTACTACTACGACTACTACAACAACAACTACTACTACGACTACTACGACTACTACGACCACGACCACTACTACGACTACGACTACTACTATTACTACTATTACTATTACGACGACTTCTAGTACTACTACTACTACTACTGCTACTACTACTGATACTACTACTGCTACTACGACGACTACTACTACTACTACTACTACTACTACTACGACTTCTTCTACTACTACTACTACTACTACTACTACTTACTATTACTACTACTACTACTACTACTACTACTACTACTACTACTACTACTACTACTATTACTACCACTACCACCACCACCACTACTACTACTACTACTACTACGACGACGGCGACTACTACTTCTACTACTACTACTACGACTACTACTACTACTACTACTACTACTACGACTACTACTACTACTACTACTACTACTACTACTACTACCACGACCACCACTACGACTACTACTACTACTACTACTACTGCTACGTCTGCTGTTGCTGCTGCTACGTCTGCTACCACTACTACTACTATTACTACTACTACCACTACTACTACTACTACTACTACTACTACTACTACTACTACTACTACTACTACTACTACTACTACTACTACTACTACTACTACTACTACTACTACTACTACTATTACTACTACTACTACTACTACTACTACTACTACTACTACTGCTACTACTACTACTACTACTACTACTACTACTACTACTACTACTACTACTATGCTACTACTACTACTACTACTACTACTTCTACTACTACGACTACGATTACCACTACTACCACTACGGGTATTACTACTGCCATTACTGCTCCTACTACAGCGACTACTACTACCACTACTACTACTACTACTACTACTTCTACTACTACTACTACTACTACTACCACTACTACTACTACTGCTACTACTGCTACCACCACCACTACTACTACTACTACTGCTACTACTTCTACTGCTGCTACCATTATTGTTTCTACGACTACGACCTACTACTACTACGGCGAGTACGACTGCTACTACTCTGACTATGGCCGCTGCCTGTTGTACTGCCAGTACTAAAACTACTACTACAGCTACTGCTTCTACTACTGTTATTACTAGTATTGCTACTACTTCTACGGCTACTACTTCTAACACCTCGACTCTTAGTACTACTCCTAATATGGTTAGTACTACTGCTACTACTACTACTACTGCTAATACTGTTACTACTACTACGACTACTACTACTATTAATCCCACCTGTGCTATTAGTACTACCACCACAGCTACTACAGCTACTACTACTACTACTACTACTACTACTAAAACTACTACCACTACTACTACTACTACTACTACTACTACTACTACTACTACTACTACTACTACTACTACTCTACTACTACTACTACCACTACTACTACTACTACTACCACTACTACTATTACTACTACTTATACGGTTACTATTACGACTACTACTACAGCTATTATTACTACTGCTACTACTACGACTACCTCTATCCTTATCTCTACTACGGCGACGACTACTACAACTGTCACTACTACCACCACCACTACTACTACCACTACTACCACTACTACTACTACTACTACTACTACTACTACTACTACTACTACTACTACTACTAGTACTACTACTACTACTACTACTACTACTACTACAACTCCTACTACTACTCCTACTGCTACGATCACTCCTGCTACTACTAAGACTACCACGACTACGATTACTTTTTCTATTGCAGCTACGACTAGTACGACGACGACTATTGTTGCTAAGACTATTATTATTATTAGTGTTAGTATTTTTCCGACGACTACTACTACTTCTACTCATAATAGTTTTGCGACGACTAGGGTAACACGTGGTCTATGTTACGGGCTTGCGAGAAGGAGTTGTTCAGGATCCCGACGTAATTCCTTTTTCACGGATTCCGTCGGATGTCCGGGGTTTTCGCAGGAATCCTCCAGATTATCCAGGATATCTTTTCAGATTCCACGAGGTTATTTTGGATTCTTGCGGATTCCTGAGGGTTCTGCAGGATTCCCCAGGGTGCCTCGTGACTTGTCAGGATTCCTCAAGACTCCAGTGGGCTCTCCAGGATTGCTCTGGACCCTCAGGATTCCTCAGGCTTCGTCATGCTTCCCCTCGGGTCCTTCAGGATCCCGTCGGATCCTTCAGGTTTCCCTAGTGGTTCCTCCGTGTTTCTCAGGACTCCTCCGGATTCCGTAGGAGTTCCGGAGGACTCCGCATGATCCCAAAGGATTCCCAAGAGTTCGTCAGGGTTCCTCGGGAGTTCGCGAAGTTCCCCAGGGCTCCTCATCTCCTCTTGTGAACAGTAGCAGACTGCGCATGTTTTCTCAACATTTTCCAAATCCCAGCCATCCCGCAGGGTCATTCAGAGTTCCCCAGAGTTCCCCACGACTCCTTGGACCTTGGAGGTCATCCATCTCTTGTCAGAGGTTGTTGGCTTCGGAAGATTCCCAATGACCGTTAGGACGCGCGAGTAATAGAGAACGGCCTGCTGCTGCTGCTGCTGCTCCTTCTCCGTTTCCTCTTCCCCCTTCTCCCCGACCCCGTATTTTGGTTGATTCGGCCCCTCTCCGTCGCTGGCACTGCTGGACGCAGCTCGGGACAACTGGTTAGGATGGGCTCGCGTCGGCGTCGCGCCTCCCGCGCGCAGTCGCCAGGTCCCTTTTCCAATTGGCTCGTCGACCCTCCATCTTCCAGCCTCCACCTCGCCCTTGTCCCCATCATCAGATCCGTGTTCAGTTCGGCCCGGGCTTTGTGCCATTGTCGTTGTCTTGGGTCGCCCGATCGCCACGCGGCGAAGAACAGTGGGAGGGCCACCGCGACAAGAAATGGTCATGGATGTTTTTTTTCTCCTTCTGCCTGCGAGCGCTTTCGACGCAGCTTCCCAATGGGCGCGCGCAAGGCTGTTGGCGCGCTGCCCGGCGACTGCGCGCGGGAGGCGTTCGACGCCAAAGGCGCCGAGGTTTTGGAGAGGGGGGTGGCGCAGCGGGATTACCGCGAGCTCCAGCGACAACCCGGGTGGCCAGGAATGGGCATCAGAAGCGCAGCGCGGATACATGGCCAGGCGGTCACCCAAGAACCGGGTGTTTTTTGTTGTCGCGCGGGCGCGCCGCGGCGTCGACTGCGACCTCGAGGGCAACCGGGTCGACTTTATTGAATCGCTTCGCTCACTCCGCTGGCCCATTTCGCATCGCTGTGACTGCGCGGCGGTGTTCTCGCGCCTTTGGGGGCCTGTCGCGGGTTTCGGGGTTTCTTTCCGGGCCCCCGGGAGGCCCTGAGGGCGGCGCGCAAGAGCAGAACCATCTTCGATGGGAGCTTGCGGGAGGCGGCCTACCCAGGGTAGATCCAGACGCATGCCGCGGACTTGCCCTGCGCTCGGACTAGGCGCATGGCGTTCCAGTTGCTGGAGATCTCAACGCGCCTCTGGCTCGTTGGTCCGGCGGATTTAAGGTGATCGTGGCCTCGGCGATCCGAAGATGGTTTCGCTCGCGAACGGCGTGGCCTCGGGCACGCCCGCGTTGCGGAATTTGCGGGTGATCGCGGTGTTGGGAACGCGAGAGATTGGCACTGTGACAGGAATTGCGGCGTCCAGAACGCGAGCGTCGCGCGAATTTTGACGGGTCCTGATTTCGGGGGCGCCAGCGTTGCATCCTCCGCGGCGGCCCCGGGGAGCCGCTCGCCCCGGGGGGCGCGTCGGCGGCCCCTCGGCGATCGACGAGGGCCGTGGCCCAAGATTTCTTATTCGAGAGACTTTTTCCAGCTCCTCCTCCTCTTCCTCCTCATCTTCCTCCTCTTCCCCCTCCTCCCCCCCCTCGTCCTCCTCTTCCTCTTCCCCCTCCTCTCCTCCTCTGAGTCAGAGCAGGAAAAGGCCCCCATACCTCTAGCCTTCGGTGGTTTGTTCTTTCTTTCTTTCTTTTGGTTTCTTTGATGGCCCTCGTCGCCGCCGCTGGATTCGCTTCGAAGCTCCAATCAGAAACGTGCCCCTGGAGAGGTTTTTGGGGCGGCGGTGCCCGTGCTTTTTGGTTTCCCCGAGCCCGCCGACTATTCGGAAGAGGCGGGGTGCCCGCGGTCGAGGCGTCGCTGGCTTTTTGGGCGCCATCCTGGATTTTCGCGGGCGTCTCGGGAGCCTTCTAAGGTTGCGCGCCCCGAGATCCCTTACCCATCGGTCGTTGGAACTAGGTTTTTTTTTTGGATTTCCAGATATCAAGGCACTTTAAGCACCGCCCTGCTTCAATGATCAAGTGACTTCGCCTGTTCCGTCTCCGTCAGGGGGCGAGCGCGCGCCCCGTCTACTTCCAACGCTTTTTCTGACATCATGTCTCCACCCATTATTTCCGACCGATGGGTAGAGCTGGACTTCTCCGCGCGCGCGCCTGCTGCATTCGACTGTCGGGGGAGATAAGGAATGTGAGCGAGGTGTGATGGAGGAAGGAGAGGGCGAACGCGAACATGCGGGAAAAGAAACGATCCGGGGGAACCCGGGATAACGACGAGGGTCGAGAGATTATAATCATCATGCTGATGATGTTTATGAGGATGATAGTGATGATGAGGAAGACAATGATGAGGAGGAGGAGGAAGGTCGGCTGATGATGACGATGCTGATGATGATGATGATGCTGATGATGATGACGATGATGATGATGAGGGTGGCAATGACGATGAGGAGGTGGAGAAGGGGGAGGAGGGGGAGGCGGAGGAGTAGGAGGAGGAGGAGGAGGAGGACGAGGAGGAGCCGGACAGAAGGAAAGGGGAAAAGGAAGACGAGGGGTCCGAGGAGGACAAACAGGAGAAGGAGGCGGGAACCTTGCCATGGCTGCTTGTGGGACGGAAGTGCGACGTGGTAGCGATGCGGAACACGGGGGCGGGAGGGGCGCTACATGTAACGTTTTGATGATTCATTGTGGCGCTCTTCGTTGGGGAATGGAGGTTCGTTGAAGCAGGCGGGGGGGGGGTGAAACAGAGTGGGGAGGGGGAGGAGGGGGAGGAGGGGGAAGAGGGGGAAAGAAGGAGGAAGAGGAGGAGGAAGAGGACACTTTGGAGGAAGAGGAACAGGGGAGGGCAAGGATCAAGAGGAGGCATTTCGATTCCTGTCGTGATGATTCATTGCGGCGCGTTTCGTCCAAGGAGCAAGGGTCGTTGCCGCAGAGGGGGAGGCCCCCTGGGCCTCTTGCCGGCGTGCTGGGGCAGACCTTCTCAGACGGCACTGAGCTTCAGGGAACGCTTAGAAGAGCCTCTCGACGGCCCAGAGGCCGCTCGGCATGGCTCGGACGTGTGCACGTTTTCTCGGCGGGGCCCCTCGAGGAGCACCTGGGATCTCATCTGGTGAAGGAGTGAGTGCACGCACGGGGCCGAAAAGTGCATGGGGAGTGGACGTCCGAGCGATGGCAAGGCCGCTCGAGCCTTCTGAGAAGGCCCGCCCCCCCGGCCTTCCCCCTCGGGCACGCCGCCAATTTCCAGGAGGGAAGACACGCGGACACGATTAATCGTCGATCCCCCAGAAAATATGGGAAACTATGGGAAGCGGGGGGGAAGACGAACATTAAACAAAACAGATCGGAAATATAGGGAATCTTGGGCTTCGTGTGCATCTATTTGTGCGTTCCTGGGCCCATTCAGATGTGGGGGTCGATCGCACTCGGCAGGCGCAGCAGAGGGACGGGGTCGACAGCTCCCGTCTTGTCTTCTGTTCTCGCGGCGCCGCGGTCGTTCCACGACGTCGGATCTCGGTGAAAAATCGCAGGCCTAGAGGTTGACACCAACACCACTGTCGGCGGTGTGCCTCCAACGAGGGAAGACGATCCCAGTCTCGGCGTTGGTGGTAATACTCTGGCTTTCAAGATGGCCGAAGTATTTCCACCAACGCCGAAATCTAGGATCATCATCCCCCTGTGGAGGCAAGCCCCCGTGTTGGTGTTGGTGCCCATTTCCAGGTCTCCAACAAAAACTGTGCGAGCGTGTTGTGCCCACAATGCCTCTCTTTGACAGACGTCCGCTGCCCACGCGTCTCTTCGTCAGGGGCCTCGAGTCTAGTAGCCACGTGGAGCTCGGCAGCCTCTCGTCGACCCTGACCGAGTCTTTCAAGGAGTGCGAGCTGCAGCCAAGTGTTCGGCCGCTGCCGCCTGGACATAATGGAAAGCCAAGGTTCCGCGTGACATTCAGCTTGGTAACCTTGCCGACGGTGACAAGTGCTACATTTATGCACGGAATTGTTTCTGAGGTGTTCGCTCTGTTGTCAAGCTTCTACGTGCTAATTCTCGCGGACGTCGTGTGACCAGACGACGACCCGATGTTCTCGAGGTATGTAGGCCTACACGCACCATGCCCCGCACTTCAGCAGTTGATCCACCCTTCTCGCGTAACTGCTGTGGCACGTCTGTTCGAAATGCATAACGCAAGGCATGACGACTCTCTTCTGCGCCATACTTGGAATTTTCTCGGTGGCATCGGTCCTGACCCCGACGTTGGGCGTCTCCTTGCAGGATTTAGCATGGTTCAGCGCCGGTACATGAGTGGATATATCAATTCGGACAGGGTTCCACAGGTCGAACAACAGATGTCCGTTGTTATCCAGTTGCGTTGCTGCGCGAATTCGCCGCCGCGCACGAGCGTGCGCCTGCGGGGGGGTGGGCTGGGGGGGAGGCAGCGAGGAGTCGCATTGAGGAGTACGTGCCCTGGAAGGCCCCGCCTGAGCAGCTGTTTTCGCAATCTTGTGCATCCAAAGAAGTGGTAACATGCATGGACGCATGCTGGGCTCGATGTGTCGAGGGGGGCCTGAATCCTGAACAACGATTTCGAACAACACGATATTGATAACAGTTATCTGGACGAAGGACCCAGCCATACGCAGTTGTGAATACCGCGTTGTGGGTACTGCTTTCGGTGGAGCTCCTTATGAGGCCACGACGCGTGTGAGGGGTGTGCCGATGTGGTGCTGCGGTGCCATGCGGACCCTGCCACTTGGGCCTTCGGTGGAGCTCCCTATGGAGCCACGAACCGTGTGAGGGGTGTGCCAAAATGTGGCGGCGGTGCCATGTGGACCCTGCCACTGGGGCGTTCGGTGGAGCTCCCTATGGGGCTTCGAATCGCGTGAGGAATGTGCCAAAATGGGGCGGCATTGCCATGCGGACCCTGCCACTGGGGCCTTCGGTGGAGCTCCTTATGTGGCCACGAAGCGTGTGAGGGGTGTGCCGAAATGGGGCTGCCACCTGGGCCTTCGGTGGAGCTCCCTATGGGGCCACAAAGCGTTTGAGGGGTGTGCCGCAATGGGGCGGCGGTGCTATGCGGACCTTGCCAAGGGGGCCCTCGGTGGAGCTCCCTATGGGGCCACGAAGCGTGAGAGGGTTGTGCCTAAGTGGTGCTGCGGTGCCATGCGGACCCTGCCCTAGGGACTTTCGGCGGAGCTCCCTATGGGGCAACGAAGCGTGTGAGGGGTGTGCCGAAATGGGGCGGCGGTGCCATGCGGACCCTGCCATTGGGGCCTTCGGTGGAGCTCCTTTATGGGGCCACGAACTGTGTGCGGAGTGTGCCGAAATGGGACGGCGGTGCCATGCGGACCCTGCCACGGGAGCCTTCGGTGGAGCTCCTTATGGGGTCACGAACCGTGTGAGGGGTGTGCCGACATGGGGCGGCGGTGCCATGCACACCCTGCCATTTGGGCCTTCGGTGGAGCTCCTTATGGGGCCACGAACCGTGTGAGGGGTGTGCCGACATGGGGCGGCGGTGCATGCGGACCTTGCCACTTGGGCCTTCGGTTGAGCTCCCTGTGGGGCAACGAAGCGTGTGAGGGGTGTGCCGAAATGGGGTTGATGATGATGACGAGGATGACGATGATTATGATGATGGCGATGATGATAATGACGACGACGACGATTATGATGATGATGACGATGATGATGGTGATGATGATTATGATGATGATGCTGATGATGATGATGCTGATGATGGTGATGGTGATGGTGATGATGATGATGATGATGATGATGATGATGATGATGATGATGATGATGATGATGATGATGACGATGATGAGGATGATGATGATGACGATGATGATGGTGGGAGGAGGAGGGAGGGGGAGAGGGAGGGGGAGGAAGGAGGTGGGAGGAGAACGCAGGGCGCCGTCTTTTCAAAACGAGGACCCAACACCACAGGATGGTTGGGAACAAAAGGGGACCGACACACGAGCCGCTGCAAGTGCAGTGGCGGATATCTTTCAAGAGATGGCATGGTGGGCCTCCAGACGCCCTTTGGTTCACTCTTACCATGTATGGGCCGAGCGCCGATGTGGTCAAGCTCGCACGTGATGCTCTTGTTCCTCACGCATCTGCATCGAATGATGACTTGTCTTTCTGGAGTAACTTGTCAGCTCTTGGTCTGGCTATTCGCGCGATCTTGCAGCTGCGCGCGATTACAGTGGGCTGCGCATCTATGGTCATCATGAGCGGCAAGAGCTGTGGACGGCAGATATCGGCTACGACGTGTCGTCCGAGCTGTGACGCGCTTTGGCAGATTTCCAAGGTAGAGATTACGGGGTCGAGTACCTGACCATCACGTAAGGGGAACAGCTGGTGTTGACAAAGTGCTCAAGAAAAGTCAAAGCTGGGCCCACGGCTCGAGATGCGACGATGGTGAGCGCGGCTGGTTTCCGCAGTCCTATAGGGGTGCCATCGAGGGCACGTCCGCAGAAGATGCCAGCGATCAGCGGCCCACAGACTGCGCCCAGACACTGGCAGCCGACAGAGACGCCTGGGACGCCTGGCCTTCCTGTGGGCGAGAGGCCCCCCGGGCGGGAGCTGCGCCAACGAGAGGACTCGCAGCGGCACTGCGAGGCGAGATGCGCGTCTCCCCAGCCGAGCAGCAGCCGCGAGAGCCGGCAGCGGCTGGAGAGAAGGCGCCGCGAGATTTGGACACCTTCGCTGAGAAGATCTACGCGCTCGTGGCGTTGGTCTATGGGAGGGTGAAGATGAGCAGTCTAGTGCACGCCGGGATCTGCCTGGGAGTCTGCACGCCGTCAAAGTCGCACGGGCAGCACATGAGCGAGATTTGCGGGGCGATCAGGAGCAATCCCCAGATCTTCGTCTCGTGGCCCGAGACTCCAACCTATACGTACCAGGTAGACGAGCTCGAAATTGTTTGCCGCTAGCATGTCTCAGACTCATCGGACATCTATTTGTCATACAGGATGCGATCCATGGTCTCGCGCGGTTACTTGTGAGGTGACAGGCAGCAGGCCGCACAGATGGACAACCGCATCATCTCAAGCGCTTGTGCCCGCGCGCCATAATTAGAGTGTCCCACAGAAGGCCAACCGAGGCATTGGCACAGCCCTTCTCAAGCTCCCGTCGAGCTCTCACTGCTGGAAGGGGTCCCGATCCTCCCTGGGAAGTAGCAGGAGGAGGAGGAGGAGGAGGAGGAGGAGGAGGAGGAGGAGGAGGAGGAGGAGGAGGAGGAGGAGGAGGAGGAGGGAGGAGGGCACGAGGACACTGGCGCCGACGACGAGGACGACGGCGACGACGACGAAGACACATTGGCGACACTGCCGTCGGCGGCCGCCCACTACCGCGCGCCGCCGAAGAGCGGAGCGCCTGCGAAGGGCCGCCGGCCTCCGCCGGCGCCGCGCGCCGCCCCTCGCCGCCGCCGCCGCTCCGCCTTCTCGCCTGCCGCAGGCCGCGGCCCCGGGCGGGCCGCCGGCGCCGGCCGCCGCCCCTGCGCCGCCGCAGCGGGGCGCGCCCAGCGCGGGCGGCGCCCCGCGGGAGCCCCGCCGCCCGGCCGCCGCGGGTCTCGCGCGGCGCAGCCGCCGCCGCCGCGGCTCGGCCGAGAGAGGCAGACGGGTGCCAGAGACAAGGCCGAGTCCCTGACGGCGGCCACGCGCCTCAGGGGCCTCGGACTCTGGCTCGGGCCCTTGCGCTCGGGACCTGGCTTGGGCTCGCACGCTGGGGGCTCGGGTTCGGGCTTGGGCTCGGGCTTGAGCTCGGGCTCGGGCTCGGAATCGGGCTTGGGCCCAGGCTCGGGCTCGGGCTCTGCCTTGGGACGGGCGCAATCGCCTCGGGTCTTGGGCCGCGCCGCCGCCGCCGCCGAGGCCCGACCCAAAGCGACAGGCGCCACCAGTACGGCCCAAGGCAGGACTCTCACCTACTGGACGTATGCTTGGTGACGCTGGCTCCCGGCAGGCTCTGCTGCGCGGCGACGGGGGCCTCGACTCCGGGTTCGCCACTACTTTTAGCGGTTTCGTGAGTTGAACATGCGAACCTGCGGAGGCCACTTGCTGGATATCTGGCGCATGGATGGTCACGGCGGCTCCAGGCAGCAGTTACTGCGCGGCGAAGGGGAGGGAGAAAGGAAACGAGAAGCAAGCAGACGACGGCGAATACGCAGGCGGGAGGCCGGGACCGGCGGGACGAAGCAGGCGGGCCGAGCGACAGATTGGCGCCAGGGAGAGTTGATAACCCGAGAGGGGCCGCGCGCGCCTTCAGCGCTCGGGGTCCGTGCGGCTGGGTATCCAGCAGGTGGCCTCAGCAGCTTCGCGCGTGCCACGTGCAAGTCCAGCCATGCGAACGACGCAAAAGAACGGGTTTGTTTTCGCCGACCTTCGCGTGTAAGCTGTCCGCGTAAGCACGCGCGCAAGCGCCCTCATTCCCTGTGTAGCGTGCCGCGCTGGCGGTCCGCGTAAGCTATCGCGGAAGGTCGCTACGTCGTCTCGCGTGAGACCCGTTTTTGATCGTCGCCCACGTGTGGGCGTGTGGGTCAGCAATGCGTGCTCCCGGACCCCCCGACCCCCGGACCTCATTTTTCTGCGTCAGTTTTTCGAGCCGGATCGGTACGTGAGTGCCCCGGGCCCCACCACCCGAGCGAGAACGCCCCGTTGCGAACAACAAATGCAACGCCAGGATCTCAGGGTCCGCAGGTTCGCATGCTCCACGTGTGGGTCCAGCCATGCGTGTTCCCAGCGTCATGGCCGCCCCTTTCGCTATGCGCGGGCCAGGAGAGACCGCGCGCCCGCCCGGGCCGCGCAGGCCAGGGCGGGGGCGGGGGGGGCCCACAGAATCTTCGAGGCAACGGCGCAGTCATAACAACAGTATCAATCCAGAAATCACATTTACTGAGTTAGGAATGCAACTCAACTTGCTCAGCGAGTGAATATTGCCCGAACCTTCGCATCGTCCGCGCGTTGGCATCCGGATTCGTCCAGGCACTCGTTCTCTGCATATGCGCGCGCTGCTCCATACCCCGCGCCACTGTCGAAAATCCACATAGGTTTCCGTTTGACCTTCCTCCCCTAAAGTCCATTTTGCAATGGGCAGTATTCAAATTCGTCTTTGTTATTTTTCCCAACCATGCTGTGGTGTTGGGCCCTTGTTTTGAAGAGGCGATCTCCGCGTCTCCTCCTCCCGCTGCCCCCCCCCCCCCCCCCCCCCGTGGGGGTGGCCACATGCGTCCGCCACACCCAATACAACGCTTCGTGGCCCCATAGGGCCAGTACAGCGCTTCGTGGCCCCATAGGGAGCTCCACGTAAGGCCCCAGTGGGGGTGGCCACATGCGTTCGCCACACCCATTACAGCGCCTCGTGGCCCCATAAGGAACTCCACGTAAGGCCCCAGTGGGGGTGGCCACATGCGTTCGCCACACCCAATACATTGTTTCGTGGCCCCATAGGGGGCTCCAGCTAAGGCCCCACCCAGTGGGGTTGGCCACATGCGTCCGCCACACCCAGTACGGCGTTTACGTAAGGCCCCAGTGGGGGTGGCCTGGCCCCATAGGGAGCTCCACGTAAGGCCCCACTGGGGGTGGCCACACGCGTCCGCCACAACCACTACAGCGTTTCGCGGCCCCATATGTAGTTCCACCTAAGGGGCCAGGTGGGGTGGCCACATGCGTCCGCCACACCCAGTACAGCGTTTCATGGCCACATAGGGGGTTCCACGTAAGGCCCCAGTGGGGGTGGCCACATGCGTCCGCCACACCCAATACAAGGCCCCAGTTGGCCACATGCGTCCGCCACACCCAATACAGCGTTTCGTGGCCCCATAGGGAGCTCCACGTAAGGCCCCAGCGGGAGTGGCCACATGCGTCCGCCCACCCAGTGCAGCGCTTCGTGGCCCCATCGGTAGCTCCACGTTTAGCCCCATTGGGGGTGGCCACATGCGTCCGCCACACCCAGTACAGCGCTTCGTGGTGGCCACATGCGTCCGCCACACCCAGTACGGCGCTTCGTGGCCCCATAGGGAGCTCCACATGAGGCCCCAGTGGGGGTGGCCACACGCGTCCGCCACATCCAGTACAGCGCTTCGTGGTCCCATAGGGAGCTCAACCTGCGGCCCCAGTGGGGGTGGCCACATGCGTCAGCCACATCCAGGACAGCGGTTCGTGGCCCATAGGGAGCCCCACCGAAGGCCCCAGTGGCACCGCCCGCATGCGTCTCCCCCACCCATTACGGCACGTCCCGCGTCCCTCACGCCCTTCGTGGCCCCATAGGGATGGGGAACTCCACCGAAAGCGGCACCCACATCGGCGTTACCCACAACTGCATCATATATTTGGGTCCTTCACTTGTGTTTCCCCCGTTCCTTTTTTGTCGCGAAAAAATAAGCAAGTGTTTTGCAACGGTCCAGAATGTGGTTTTCCAACCACATTGTGGTGTTGGGCCCTCGGTTTGAAGAGACAGCGCCCCGCGTTCTTCGCTCCTTCCTCCTCCCCCTCCTCCCCCCTCCCATCATCATTATCAGCATCATCATCACCACCATCATCATCAGCAGCAGCATCAGCATCGCCATCGTCATCGTCATCGTCATCATCATCATCATCATCATCATCATCAACAGCAGCAGCAGCATCATCAGCATCATCATCATCATCATCAACATCATCATCATCAGCAGCAGCATCAGCATCATCATCGTCAGCATCACCATCATCATCATGGTGAAGCGTTTCGTGGCCCCATGGGGAGCTCCACCTAAGGCCCCAGCGGGAGTGACCACATGCGTCCGAAACACCCAGTACAGCCTTTCGTGGCCCCATAGGGAGCTCCACGTAAGGCCCCACTGGGGGTGGCCACATGCGTCCGCCACACCCAATGCAGCGTTTCGTGGCCCAAGAGAGAGCTCCACCTGAGGCCCCAGTGGGGGTGGCCACATGCGTCCGCCACACCCAGTACAGCGCTTCCTGGCCCCACAGGGAGCTCCACGTAAGGCCCCAGTGGGGGTGGCCACATGCGTCCGCCACGCGCAGTGCAGCGCTTCGTGGCCCCGTAGGTAGCTCCACCCAAGGGTCCAGGTGGGGTGGCCACATGCGTCCGCCACACCAAGGACAGCGCTTCGTGGCCACATCGGGAGTTCCACCGAAAGCCCAGTGGGGGTGGCCACATGCGTCCGCCACACACAGTACAGCGCTTCGTGGCCCCAAGGGAGTTCCACCCAAGGCCCCAGTGGGGGTGGCCACATGCGTCCGCCACACCCAGTACAACGCTTCGTGGCCTCATAGGGATCTCCGCCTAAGGCCCCCCCCCCGCCTGAATTGTCAGCCCGCGCCTCCTCTTTGGGCCTCCAGACAGCCCGGGGTTGTCCGCCCTCCGTCTGCCTGCCCCGCCCCCCCGCTATTGCAGTGGCGCGAAGGCCAGCGACACTATTTGTTTTAATCTTCCGCCCCAAAAAGTTGTCGTTGAAGCGTTTGTTCCCACTATGTGTGTGGGTGTGTGGGTGTGTATGTGTGTGCATGAATGTATGTGTGTGCGTGTGCGTATGTGTGTATTATGTGTGTGAGTGTGTGTGGGTGTGTGGGTGTGTGGGTGTGTGGGTGTGTGGGTATGTGGGTGTGTGGGTGTGTGGGTGTATGGGTGTGTGTGGGTGTGTGGGTGTCTGTATATGTGTGTGGGTGTGTGGGTGCGTGTTTGTGTGTGTGTGTGTGTGAATCCGTGTTTGTGAGTGTGTGTGTGTGTGTTTGTTTGTGTGTGTGTGTGTTTGTGTGTGTGCGGGTGTCTGTATCTGTGTGTGTGTGGGTGTGTGGGGGGGCGTGTGTGTGTATGTGTGTGTGTGTGTGGGTGCGTGGGTGCGTGTGTGTGTGTGTGTGTGTGTGGGTGAGTAGGTCTGTGGGTGTGTGGGTGTGGGGGTGTGTCTGTGTGTGGGTGTGTGGGTGTGTGTATGTGC